TGATAATTTGCCTATATGTTGATGACATGCTGATTTTTGGCACTGATCAACTTCAAGTTGATGAAACGAAAAGTTTATTGTCATCAAGGTTTTCCATGAAAGATATGGGGGAGGCTGATGTAATCCTTGGTATTAGGATTAAGCGGTTGAACAAAGGAATTGCTATGACGCAAGCACACTATGTTGAGAAAATTCTCAAGAAATTTAATTATAGTGAATGTTCTCCCGTGAGTACTCCCATGGACCCTAGTGTCAAATTAATGCCAAACAAAGGCAAGGCAATATCACAATTAGAATACTCTCAAGCTATAGGATGCTTGATGTATGCCATGACAAGCACTCGTCCGGATATCGCCTACGCGGTTGGGAGGTTGAGTCGGTATACTAGCAATCCTAGTACTCAACATTGGCAAGCAATTCAGAGAGTATTCAAATACTTAAAAGGAACCATGGATTATGGAATATGTTATCTTGGATATCCCTCGATTCTAGAAGGATATACTGATGCAAGCTGGATAAATCACCTAGAAGATCATTCTTCTACAAGTGGTTGGGTATTCTTGCTTGGGGGAGGTGTCATTTCTTGGGCCTCTAAGAAGCAAACTTGCATTACAAATTCAACAATGGAGTCTGAATTTGTTGCTTTAGCTGCTGCCGGTAAAGAGGCAGAATGGCTAAGGGATTTGGTTTTTGAGATTCCATTATGGACAAAGCCAATTGCACCCATTTCTATTCGTTGTGATAGTGCTGCCACGTTGGCTAAGGCCTATAGCCAAGTGTATAATGGGAAGTCTAGACACTTAGGTGTTAGACACAGTATGATTAGGGACTTAATCATGAAGGGTGTAATTTCTGTTGAGTATGTGAAATCACAACAGAATTTGGCGGATCATTTAACTAAAGGTCTGGCCAGGGACTTAGTGCACAAGTCTGCGATTGGGATGGGTTTAAAGTCCATTTAATTCCATAATGATGAGACACCCAATTCCCCTCTAATATAATATTAGAGGTTGAATTCAATGAGGAAAGCTCATACTTAAGGAATGGAACACATGCATTTTGTCATCCCAGGTTAGTGTGTTCGGACCTGTAGTAAAAGGGTTGAATATATATTCTTAATAATTCCTTTGTTAAAATGTAAGCAGGTACATGATTAAAGGAATTACCTATATGATCGTGAAGTGTAGCCGCACTTCGAAAAGTTGGGACTTGACTTTTATACGATTATGAATGGATTGGGACACTCGGCTTAATAATAGTGTCAAAGTTTTGAACTAGTTGTTTATTTTAACTTATGTGTATGTTATCTTCATGTATTCAAATGGGTTGAAGGGTTCAATTCTTAGAACACCCTGATTCTCGAGTATTTGGAATGTGTAATGTACTAATATGAAAATTCAATCGTTTCGATATTTTCATGTATGCATAAGTTTGGTTGTCTCTTATTCTTGTTTATGTAGATTCATGGTTACACTAAAATGGGGGAGGATTGTTGGTGATTTTAGTATCACCAGGTTCATTTTAGTGTAATGGAATTTACAGATTACCAATGGAGTTCAAGTTTAATTTTAGACTAGTTAGGAGGTGCGGAGCGCACACTTGTACGAAATTAAATTTAAACTTGGTTCGATTAAATGGCGGGGGTCAAGGGGGCTGCGCCCCCTTGCGGGGTCCAAGGGGCAGCGCCCCTGGCGGGGGTCTCGCTGCCCGGTCAGCGAGTGGGGTCGAGGGAGGCCGCCCTCGCGGGGTTCTGGGCAGCGCCCCGGACCAAAATTTTATTTTATTAAAGAAATAAATATGGAAATTTATTTTCGGATAAACATGTCCATATTAATTATTTAATAGAATGACTTTCGAGACTAACCTCGACGGAAGCCGGGGGATGGTAATCGACTCTGGCACCACCTTCACGCGCCTCCATCCCGCGGTGTACACGGCGCTCAAGAATGAGCTGATTAAGCAGCTGCTGCAGGCGTATAATCTACAGGTGGCGGAGGCTTCCGCGGGTCTGGATTTGTGCTTCGCTCTGCCGCCAGGAGGCGGCAATACTAGTGTCGTCTTCCCGGAGCTGACCTTTCACTTCGACAGGGGGGATTTGGTTATCCCTAAAGAGAACTACATGGAGACCGTGGAGAGCTCCACTCTGGCGTGTTTGGCTATATTAAGCGCCGGCGAAGGCGTTCCGATGGCCATATTTGGAAATATGCAACATAAGAATATGATTATGACTTTTAATCTTATAGACAATTATCTATCCTTCCAACCAACACAGTGCGATCAGTAGATAAATAGAATTATCAATCTTTTATTCCAAATACAACTATTAAGCCCTAGCGTTGCTACTCGGATGGCATTTGTATTTCCAATATTGTACTCCCTCACTTCCCATTTAAAACTTTGTTACTTTTAATTGTTTGGTTAATCATGTTCAACTTTGATTCATTATATATTTTCATAAGAAATTATTTATGATAAAAAAAGTATATCAAAATGTTCTTTGTTAAAATTATTTTTATAAAATTATAAATTTTACGGAGTATCACTTTCATAATATTATACTACGTATTAATCAAAATCACAGTCCAAACTTAAGTATCATTGACCGGGGGTCTCGCTGCCCGGTCAGCGAGCGGGGTCGAGGGAGGCCGCCCTCGCGGGGTTCGGGGCAGCGCCCCGGACCAAAATTTTATTTTATTAAAGAAATAAATATGGAAATTTATTTTCGGATAAACATGTCCATATTAATTATTTAATAGAATGACTTTCTGTTAGAGTAAAACTCTAACCGATTGGCCTTATCTCTTTGGTAATCAGAAGAATTCGAGTTCTACTAAAACTGCTAGTTCGTGGTCTATATATTGGTGCCTCAGTTTTAGACTGTCTCTTAGAGTGATTATCCCCATAATCTAAATTTCGTGTAACCCAGGCATAGGGTCGAAATATTAGATTCGGAAAGTGATCACACGATACTCTGAGAAATCCGCCAGATTTTCTAAAACAGTTTCCCAGCTCCCTAGTTCTAACACACTTCCCTTCCAGTCCATCTACCACAGTGATCTCTACCGCAGTCCCGGTATCCCCACCCAGTCAGTCCCCGACCGTCCCTCTAGTTAATGTTCATCCTATGCAAACCTGGGCTAAGTCCGGTATTTTTAAACCTAAATCAATTTTTACGTTAAACACAATTGTTAGCGTAACAGATCCTACTTGTTTTTCATGGGCACAAAAGCATTTAATCTGTTATGAGGCTATGACAGATGAATTTAATGCACTTATCTCCAATAATACTTGGGATTTAGTTGCGTTTGATACCTATACAAATGTGGTTGGGTCTACGTGGATTTATAAAATAAAATTTCATTCTGATGGATCTATTGAGCGGCATAAAGCACGTTTGGTTGCTCAAGGTTTTAATCAAAAGGCTGGAGTGGGTTTTTCTGAAACTTTTAGTCCAGTTGTTAAACCCACCACGGTTCTTATTGTTCTTACACTTGCTATTTCTTTTGGGTGAGTTATGCATCAGTTGGATGTGAAGAATGTGTTTCTTCATGGTCACCTTACTGAGGAGGTTTATATGCGTCAACCGCGGGAATTTGTTCTTCCTCAGTTCCCTCATCATGTGTGTCATCCGCGAAAAGCCATTTATGGCCTTAAGCAGACCCCGCGGGCGTGGTTTCATCGGTTTAGTAGTTTTTTCCTTACTCATAAAATTTTATGTAGTAAGTCAAATAATTCTTTATTTATTTATCATCAGGGTCAATTGGTGATTTATCTATCATTATATGTTTATGATATTATTATTACGGGTAATTCACCCTCTCCGGTCTCCTCTTTTATTCATCGCATTGCGTCTCACTTTGCCATGAAAGATCTGGGTGATCTCCACTTTTTTTGGGGGGTCCAAGTTGTTAGAAATTTTAAAGGGATTTTTCTTTCTCAACAAAAATATTTGTCTGATCTTTTCCTTCGTTTCCATTTACACACTCTCAAGTCTGTTCGTACACCTGTCGCTACACGCACGACACTCTCCCTCACTGATGGCGAACTCTTGGTAGGTGCATTGCAGTATTTAACTTTGACACGACATGATATTACTTATGCAGTTCCTTTAGTGTCTCAATTTATGCATGCCCCTCGTACTACTCACCTGTTTGATGCAGTCAAGCGTATTTTCCGTTATTTATAGGGCACCATTGATCATGGATTATGGCTACAGACTTCTGTACGCCCCATATGTATTTTGGCCTATTCTGATGCTGATTGGGCAGACTGTCCAGATATATCTCGTTCTACGACAGGTTTTGCAGTATTCTTGGGGCCTAACCTTGTGTCATGGAAGTCTAAGAAGCAGCCTACAGTGTCCAAATCATCTACAGAGGCGGAATATCGTGCTATTGCGTATACATTATGTTACAGGACACCTTACATGTCTGATCCGTCCTTTTTTAGCTCGGGTTTCCAGTTCGTATTCCGGTTCAACTCTTCTGTGATAATATTTCTGCCTCCTATTTGACAGCTAATCCGGTCCAGCATGCTCGGAGTAAGCACATACAGATTGGTTATCATTTTGTTCATGAGCGGGTTGCGCATGGCGATTTAGTAGTAAAATATGTTCCTACTCATCTTCAGTTAGCTGATATATTTACTAAGAGTTTATCTAGTCAACAGTTTAATTTTTTAAAGGACAACTTGCGCGTTGTATCTCCTGCACAGTTTGAGGGGTATAATAGTTGATATATTTTAGGAATCCTTGTGTATTTTAGCAAATGTTATTTTATTGTAAATATACCTACCAAGGCTTGTAAATGTGCAAACTTTCCCATTATTTCACACCAAGTGCGGGGTAAGTAATTAAGCAACATCATTATAAGAGCTCTAATTGATTCCAGAAAAGCAAAGGTTATTGCTTTCCATTTGATTTAATTCAACAACCATTACAACATCGATACACAACAGAAGCTACTACTAATAATAGTAATATTAATAAAAAAAAGTAGCAAATTAGTTTTCTAAAATAATAAGCTAGTTGCTACTGCATGGCTGGATCTGAAAGTCCATTCTCTTGATCTTAAAAAAGAAAACTTCTAAACAGATGAACTAATAATAGTAGTAATATTAATTAATTAAAAAAAGTAGCAAATTAAGTTGCTAATATAATAATCTAGTTGGTACTGCATGGCTGGAGCTGAAAACCTGAAAGTCCATTCTCGTGATCTTAATAAAGAAAGGTTCTAAACAGATGAACTAAAGGATCTGCAAAGAAGCCAGGCCGGCGGCCTTTCTCTGCAAAATAACCTCTATATTTGGTTTGTACTGCTTTCACTTTCCAGTGACTGAGTCAGTTGTAGCAGTAGTACATCCCCATCTGATGCTCTATTTTGCTTTCATCATCATTGAAGAAATAAAAGCCGTCATTGTTACTGTTATTATTCAGCATTTCATGACACTCATTACTGCCACTCACCAGCTCCGCAACAATCTCAAGATCTCTTTCCACTAGCTTGTTATAACTACTGTTATCATCATTACTGTTACTATTACTATTATTAGTATTCATAACGGCATTAACAGTGTCAAAGAACTTCTGGTCTTCATCAAATATACTAGGAACATTTGTTTGTCCTTGGAAACAGCTTGCGAGGAGATCGTCGGTTTCTTGCTTGGCGATGTCAGCTGCACTCGAAGAAGACGAACCCGTGCTGGCTTCAGCTGTTCTTCCAAACATGAGGATATTATTGTAATTCCAGTTGTTATCGTTGTCGTTACCATTGTTGGTGGTGGCAGCGGTGGTGGAGGTGGTGGTGGTGTATTGCATGGTGGGGGTGAAGAAACCCTGGGTTTGGGCTTGGTGTACATTACAACTTGGTGGAGGAGCTCCAAGGGAAATAAAGTTGTTGTCACACATGAAAGCTGGGGTTTGGATAGGAGAGAGGGAGTCCAGGGAGGGAAATAGTGGAGAGTTGTTTGTGGGAATTGGGGAGTAAAATGAGAAAAGGGATTGTTGAGGGAGTGGTTGAAAAGAAACAAGGTTTGTGGGAAAGTTAGTTGGTGCAGAAAAAACAGGTGATCTTCTTCTCTTGTTGTAAGAAGAAGATGAAGATGAGGGAGGGAAAAGCATCACCCCCATTAATTTTTTCTTAAGCTTGGTATTCCAATAGTTTTTGATATCATTGTCTGTCCTTCCTGGTAACTGTGCTGCTATTATTGACCACCTGCCATCCACATTTTTTTATTTTCATTAATATTCACTTAGTTACAACAAACATTAAATTAATAATAGGACCATGCATGTTTTTTAAAAAAGGACTATCAACTATGCATCATTTTCCAAACAAAAAACAAATCTCACTTACAGGGCGGAGTACCCACCATCTTGCTGCCATTTTTGTGGTCCTTACATATATAAATCGTACTACTATATTAAAATCAATTAAATACTTCTAAATTAAATTTACATCTTATAAATGAGAATTTCTTTAAAAAAGGTTGTAGTGTCTGGTCTGGTCTGGTCTGCAGTGGTCTCCTCTAGTCTGGTAAATGTCTTGTCTTTGTGTATTTTATAACTACGGAAGTCAAGTCTGATTTGGTCTGAACTGGTATGATCTAGTTTGATCTAGTCTGTTTAAGTCCGGTCTGGTCAGATCTGGTATTGAAAACAGTCGAAGTATAAACGGGGTAATTAATTCGCTAAGGATCAAACAAATAATTAAATTCAGCCTCAATTCCCTACCTTATTAATGGCACATATAATCTCTATATATAAATTTTAAGAAGAGGTCTTTTCTAGGGTTACGTACACCTCCGTCCTTTATTTAATTTTGAGAAAGGGATGGAGCATGATAATTTTGTACACCTAAAATAGTACAACACTATAAAAGAGTACTTTTTCGTGTTACGTTACACATCATACGTAGTATCTTTTAAAAAGGTTTTCCATATACGATGTTTTCAATAGAAATTGGATTATACTCCCTATATCTTTGACCGTATATGAAGAACATGATACAAAAAAGTACAAAGAAAAATTATACTCCATATAAAACAAACATAGATTTAACAAACTAAAATAAAAAAGAGAACTAAATTAAATATATACTCCGTCCGTTTTTATCAAATATAAGAATATACGTAGTAATTATTTTCTATGAATAAAATATAAGTATTAATTTTTATGGTCAATTTAAAAAGTACAAAATGTATAATCTTAGCATGACACACTTATTACTAAGAAAGTAGAAAAATGTATAGTTGTGATTGATTCAAAAAGGATATAAATCTTAACTACACGGACCAGTCCTTCAAAGAAAATGTAAACAAAAATGTAATTATTTTCTATGTCCAAAAATATACTCCCCGTCCCGAAAAAGTTAGTCAAATTGACTTTTTTTAGTCAATATCAATCAACTTTGACTAATGATACTTTTTAATACTACGTACGAAATTATTTAGAATATGAAAAATGTATCAAAATTTTGTTTATTCAAAAATATTTTCATAAAAGTATAAAATTCATAAATTATATACAAATTTAATAAATGAAATCATTGTCTCAAGTTTGTCATCATTGATCAAGAAAAGTCAATCTGGCGAACCATTTCGAGACGGAGGTAGTAATTTTTACATTCAATTTATTTTGAAGAAGATACCAGTTGCCATTGTCCAAAAAAGCATATGATTGTGATTTGAGTAATTTATTATTGGGAAATTTTGAGTTTGCACCCCATTTTTTGGGTGATATTGGACTTTGCACCCCATTTTCAAACTTTTAGACTTTGCACCCTATCTACAATATTTTATGAAGAAAAATTCCTGAATGAGGTGCAAAGGCAAAGACATTTTTGGAGAAATAGGGTGCAAAGTCTAAGAGTATTAAAAATGGGGTGCAAAGTCCAATATCAACCAAAAAGCGGGATGCAAAGTCAAAATATCCCTTTATTATTTACCAGTTGTCATAAGATATACCAGTTGCCATTATTTTTCAATTTATTACTATATTATGTGTATATTTATGATGCCTGTTTAACTTCTAATTGGAGTAATCTATTATTTACTAAAAAAGTTGTAGCGGTGGTAGTGGGAAAAAAAGGCCGAATATGTCCCCTAGCATGTAACCTTAAAACCCTTTTTGCAGAAGGGAAGTGAGGGCCGGGGCATCTAAAACTGCATGCATAAGCATGGCGTCAATATATACATACATAATCGATCTCCCAATTATTAATCTCCAGCCTATAAAACAAAAGTAATAAAGTCGTTATTTCAGCATCACCAGAAATTGTTTTTTTTTTCTTTTCTTGTTTTCTTTGACTCTACAGTTTGTTTATTTATCATTTTTTGTCACCACATGCTAAAGCTACGCCCGTGCATCAGTTCCTTTTATCGTGAAAATTTATACTCAGATAACGCTGAGACGATTTGAAGATACAACCAAACGTACGCTCATAGATTCAGATTTTGTGCATGTGATGCTTAATTAATGTTAATGGCAAAATATGCTTAATTTAAAACATATATACTTATTATTGATATAATAAATCCCAATTAATTAATTAATTAATTAATTACCTGCTGCCAATGGTAGCATACAATGTGCAGATGATTCTATCCTCCTCATCAGTGAATTCTCCATGCTTTATATTTGGCCTCAAATAATTTAGCCACCTCAATCTGCAGCTCTTCCCACATCTCTTCAGTCCTGTTGGTTCAATTCCAATACATGCATATATATATGTTCAATACTCACATACAGGAAATTATAATTTAAACTGTATATATAGGAAAAAACTCATGTGAAAATAACTACTGTGATCAATATATATGAAAAGTCACATTCTCCATTATAGTTATTTTAGTTATTACTCCGTATTTCTTACTGTTACTCAAGTGTGCTATTTAACCTATATTAAAAAAAATATAACTTCTAACTTAACACAAAAGTTAGAAATTCTTTTTACTGTAAAACGACCCGTAAAACCGATGATTTTTCATAGAAGTTAAGTTCTTGTTCTTAAATTTTATATTTCGCATGTGAGGACTTCCTTAATGATCCACTAATCCACTCCCTATGTATTTTATTAAACGCTCAAAATAAATTTATTTATTTGGCTGTAGATATTTTTTCATTATGGGTCATTCGTAAACAGATTCGTAAACAGTCTGTCTGTACTTTAATACAGGAGTAAGACTGCGTACATCTGTAGGTGGGAGCATTTGAGGCAGTGAAGTAATGATGATGATATGATGGTTGTAGATAATTTTTTCAATGAAAAAAAAAACTAACATCGACCCATTGATCCTTAAGAATCAATCATATACATTACCAGCTTTCTGAGGGAGAGAAATCCAATTCCCACCAGTTCCAAATTTTTCAATGAAGTCTTTCAACTTTGCATCTTCTTCAGGTGACCAAGGCCCTTTCTTCACATTAGCCTTGTCACAACATGGAGCTCTTCCCATCTTAGCTCTCTTAATGTAATAGTATGGACAGTATTGTGTACGTAGTAGGAGATAGGTAGTTCCTTGTTTGGCTTAGAGGAAGTAGTGAATGAGTGTGTTTGTGGAGTGGTGTACTAAGAGGTTTATATAAAGGTGGGAGCTGGAGAAATAGGGCAGGTCTTATCTTCGTCGGCTGCGCTGCAGATGTGAGAAATGTGCAGAACAGAACGAGGTAAATCTTTTCCAAAACTGTAAAAATATGAAAAGCAGACAGAGTGAAAATGTACTGGTATTTTACTGTTGGTGTTTGTTGTGTTTTCACGTGTAAGTAGGGTAGAATTTTCTTTTTCTTTACCTTTTTCCCTTTTAGTATTAGGTATCCATCCGGAACAGAAAATGAGGGCTATGGTTAAAAGGGCGTTATTAATTAAAGATTTAAAGCCAACACAATTACATTACTTTCACCATTTTGGAGATTGGTAGTTTGAGGAGCACTTGAAGTATAATTTTTGCGATTGGGGTTTATACAAAAAATATTCCAAATTGAGACACCATAGAAGGGAATGACATTTCACTACTACCTATCAACGTATGACCCCTAAATTTTGTGATATATTGTTCAATAAAATACGTAGTATTGCGTGCTGAATGTATTAATAACTAAGTAAATAATTTTTTCATACCCACCTTTCTTTTTTCCTTAACAGATTGTGCGTTTTTATTATATATAAACTGTCAAAGATACGGGAAAAACTTTATAACCAAATGTTGAATTCATGTATTGTGTAACAAAAAGCGTTACGTTGACTACGTGATTATAAAGATAGATATTTGTATTTTGGTACACGAGTGACCAACTTTTAGATTTATTGGAAACAACACAATTCCAAATAAATAACCAAAATAAATAGTTGACAAAAATGTGACTTTGATAACTTTAGTGACTATAATTTTATTAAAATGTTACATCATATTGACTATAATACTTACACATAGTAGTTTATAGGCACATTTTTGTCTATTGATTGTTTATTACTACCTCCGTCCCACTAAGATTAGGACGAGAGAAGGTGGCACTATTATTAAGAAAAGTGGGTTTGTGTGATTGATGTTAAATTGATAAAGTAAAAATAAAGCAAGAATGGTTTAGAGGCACGTAAACTGTACCAAATTTGGTATGGGACAATCTTAGTGAGACTTCTCGAGTAATACGGAGTAGTAGGGAGTAATATTTTAGAAAACCCTCCTTATTGAATGAATGAGTTGCAAGTAGTTAAGATATACTCCTTCCGTCTAAGGGTGTAGCTAGGGAGGGCCAATTTAAGCCTTGGCATTTCCTAAACTTCAATTTTAATTAGATTATTAAGGTAAAAAATAGTGTAAAAAATTTCTAAGAAATTATTTGTACTTGTCCATCCCAATATATCGTTTTGCATATGCATCTTTGCTTCTATCACTTGTAACTTTGTTGTTGTTTTTTGGTTATCCTAAAAACTGTGTCACTTTCTTCTTTCGTCATTTAAATTTAAATTTAGCGAATGTAATGAAATAGGTTGTATTTGCTGAATGTGTTCAAAATATCAAATTTGTTGACGAAATTGTCGTGTTCCATTATGCGGAATGGTCAAACGCGATATATTAATAAAAAGAAAAAATGGGTAACTAATAAAAATGGCCATACATACCAAATCTTCCCGTCGTGAGAAACCTTAGTTTCAATTCCAGTGATAAGTAGGGGCTGACCCAGGAAATTTATATTGGCAGTATACCAGTGGCTTATTTATAAATTTTTTCCAGTTGTGACCAATTTACACTACAACTTAGTCACATATTTCAGAAACAACAATTCACATTATTAATATGTTCGATTAGGCTTTGTATAAGCTATAAATGTATAAGTATGTACAAAAAGAAGTTTGATTTATATTACGTGTGTGCAAAGATGCAATATAAAAAAATGAAAAAATTACCTAAATACTAATGAGTTAAGCATTACAAAATTCAATGAATTTTATCCTTTTATTCTTTTGATAAAATCATATTTTAAAATTTTAATATGTTTGACTCATATTTTGAGCAACTTCCCTTAAAATTTTAGGTCACATATATAGGACAGTGTTGGGGTTGATGGGGGGCAACTATCCCTAATGCCTCCACGTACAATGGATACCCCCTCACTGTAGTTAAAACAAAATCATTGTAGAAGTTTGTTAGTATAATTTTTGAAAAAAATCCACTTTTGGTCTTGTGACTATTATACCACTTTCACATTTAGTCTCTTACTTTCAGATTGTCCACATTTAGTCCGTGACCATTATCCCCTCACCACACCTCGTCCTTCCGGCCAAAATTCCGGCAAATTTAATGTAGATTTTAGGTATGAAAAACCAAATTTAATGCAAAGACTGATATGAAAAACCCAACCTTATATAAAATTTAATGCAAAGATTGATTATGAGGATGATAAGTGGACTAAATTTGCCGGAATTTTGGCCAGAAGGACGAGGGTGGTGAGGGGATAATGGTCACAGATTAAATGTGGACAATCTGAAAGTAAGGGACTAAATGTGGAAGTGGTATAATAGTCATGGAACCAAAAGTGGAATTTTTTCTATAATTTTTTATTATTCAAGAAGATGATAATGGATGTCGCAAGTTCATGAGAGGAGCAACATGGTTACATGGGATGAGAGGAGTAATTTGATTACATATGATGCAAGTCTAGTTGAATTTGTTCTTATGAGACAGAGAGCACAAACACACATAACTAAATAAATACTACCTCCGTTCCAAATTGATTTGCACATTTGACTTTTTTGGTCAAACAGTTTCATTTTATTTGTTTAATTACGATGTCAATTTTTAATTATATTCTAATTTGGAATTTACAACTTTGAAGAGATTTTAACGTAGTTTATGAATATATAAATTTTAATTATTAAAAATTGAATTAATTATCGATTGAGAGCATTGACTTTTTTTATTGATTCACCAAAAAATGTTGACTTTGCAAAACAATTTGGGAGGGAGGGAGTAAATAACTAAATAAATAAAATAATAAAAAATAAACAGTGTTCCTAATATAACCGATAAAGTTAGGTCAAGAAAAGAGGTCGCAATTGAATTGGCCAAAAAATAGAGGATTGGTTTGCTGCATCAATCTATCAAAGTGAACTTTTACTTTACTCACTTAGGATTCTAGCATCGTGTTTCTTGGGGAACTGCCCAGCCATAAAGTGACAAAAACAATGTTGCCTTTTAAAAAGAAGACAGTGACGTTATGACGCAATAAATTCACCATTTTAGTGCGCAAAATTTCCAATAAAGTGGGGGAAAACCAAAAAAAACACGGGAGCCTTACGTAAAACGTTGAACTACAGACAATGCATATGATACGCCGCAAGATCAGAGCTTTTCTTTTTATTCAGGGAGCTGAGCTGAGCTGAGCACTGCGTATTTTATTATTTTTCTGCGATAACGTCAATTGTGATAATTGGTACGTACCGTCATCATCCTTATAATATTCATTATATTTCGGTGTATTGATTTCATAAATTTTAACTTTATACGGAGTATCCCTTAAATAAAGTTTTACCGCCTAAACGGTTTCTTTTTGAGTTGACACAGGCGTAACAACGTCTATCTTTAATTTGATTAACAATCATCTCAGAAATTCCAAGCAAATCATACAAAACGTGTCGTGACAAAATAGGAACACCAATGGAAATAGAATAAACACCAAAATCTAAAGTATGGCTTAGGGCAGCCACGTAGTCGGCACCCCGGTTGCCCTCCCAATAAATATGCTCAACTTTGATCATCCAGTCTCAATCAAGTAACTCACGAAAACTGGCGATCTCGAAAGAGTGCTGATGTGTAAGCTCGCCATCACCCAACAATGGCTGAACTGCAGCACACGAATCTAGTTGTAGACGTGCACGCCGGTGCCCTCTCTCCCAAGCAAACTGCAGACCTGCATAGCTGCTCTTAATTCAGATATGGTGATTGAGCGAATCCCCAGATTCATCGAATAGGCTGCAAGACAGCGCCCATCGAAGTCACGGAAAAAGCCTCATGCGGCTGCTCATCCGACTTAGGAATAACAGACCCGTCGGAATTAAGAGCAGCCCACTTGGGTGGTGGCGACGGTCAAGAGACATCCATCGCCTTCTTTGTGGATGAATCAGTTTGAACGAACTGACACGTATCAAAGCCTCCTCTACCGACTTGGCCCATAAGTAGATATGCTGTGAAAAGGCCTCAAGAGCAATGCAAATATCGGTAAAGATAAATTCATTCCTAGTCTTCCCACAGAGACCAACAAGCAACCCCAAAAAGAAGACTAGCACTCAATGACTTCAGATGGTGTGTGATCCAAGGCAGAAGAAGAGAATCCCAGTTCGGTTGATCTTCAAAAAGAAAGGCAAGATGCTCCCAGGTACTAATCGCAAATGGTCCCGCAACACATGCAGGACTGTTTCAGGTGCCGATTGACATCTCGAGCAGTCACCCACATCTGCCAAGTGTCGACGGCTCCGCTCATCATTGGTGAGGAGTCTTCCATGCAAAGTAAGACAAAGAAAATGTTTGATGTGGTTCGGTCCACGCCAATGCCACACCACCCACCAGTCTGGGGCCAACTCCTCAGAAGTCCATGCACCAAGAAGCTTGGACATCAATCGTATTCGGAAGCGGGCATCTTTTTCGACCCCCCAAAAATTGTGTCTTCTCCTCCGTTCGCCTTGGGGGGGGGGATCTTAGCAACCCGAACAAAGTGTGCAGGTAAAAAGGAATAAAGTAAGGAAAAGTTCCACTGATCTGACGTCGAGGTGTAGTCCACTACTTTAGCTTCGATGATAATTGGAGGAGCAATCAGAAGGATGTGGTTAATGAGAGTGATGCCTAAGTCCAAACATTTCCCGTGCGAAAAAATGTCACCAACCCATTACGAATGCCCTCCCGCATACCACGCTGAGCTGTGGTCAAAGCAGCGCAAATACCTCGCCAAATAGCTGATTTAGCATATGTGTGACACTGATGGAACCCATCTGATTTACAAGTGTATTTTGTTTGTAACACATTTTCCCAAAGATAATTAAGGTTTGCCAAAAACAGAAACCCAAG